CCCCCCCCCCCCCCCCCCCACTTCAATCTCATTTGGGGGAAGCATTTTCGGCATCCCTATTCAGGTTGAACAAACTGGGCAAGTTGATTTACCTGAGGTGGGAGGAGCTGCAGATACCCTGTTGTCAAGCTAAAAAGGGTTCATATGCTAAAGCTGGCACTTTGACTTATACTTGGAAGCTTAATGATAGCTAATGCAGCACCTGCACAATTATTGCTATGTGGCACTACCACTAGATAGGCTGTGGCATGGTGCAGCAGTTGGACTTTCTGGATAGTCTTCAAAGACAGCAAAGTGCATTACAGTAGCTAGTTGGAGAGGTAATGAGTGACTGATGTGGGGCATGATGCTCCAGGAAGGGCTGCAACTGGTGCAAAGAGTAATGTCAGAGAAGAAAAATATATTACAACAAGGGTAAACAAGAGCCCTAATGTTCAGTGAGCTTACTGAATATGCTTGTATAATCTTTCGTGCAGCGTTTCGGTGTGCCTACTGCTTTTTTCTGAATCCTGCAAGAAAAACCAGGCCGCAGGCTCCACGGCTTCCAGATTTTGGCATTGAAAAGAAGCCAGCTGCTGAGATGCAGAGCATGACTGAAGCTCCACAGTCGGAGGAGGAAAAGTTACAACAGACCCAAACGGAAGAAGGTAGGTAGGTGGGAAGCCTCAGTTGTTTGACGAAAATAGAATCAGCATAGTTTGATCAAATAATTTGAGGGATTTGCATTTTTCTTGCAATGGTAACAGTGAAAGATTGCCAATATATATGATACCATATACATAGCCAAAGACAGCAGCAAGTGGATGCTGCAGAGGAATCTGTTTTCATCTTGATTTCTTTAGAACAATATCTTGGATCATTTGATAATATATGTAATCTTGTTTGTTCCTTATAGTTTAGAATTAGAGTTCTCTTGGGGGGGGTGATTTTTGGGGTGTAAAGTATGGCTGCAGGAATGTCAACCCTAACCCTAAGCCTTTTCAAATTTTTCAGAAATGTTTTTTCTTTGCTATCTGACATTTTTCCCTTAAATCTGGTTTCTTTATAAATCTTGGGGTATTCTATTAATTTAAAAAGTTTTCAATATTAACAATTATATTCACTAATTAAGGGATTTGGGTCATCATGTGGTTACATTTCATACTTTTTGGTGTATCATTGGGTTGAGGTGAATTGAAGGTCCAGCTTTTATTCCAAATGAAAAGGTTGAAAAGTTAGCTTTGATGTTTCCCCCAGCGCTGGAAAATCTAGTAAAACAGACTTGTTTAAAAAATGAGGAGTTCAAAGACAAGTTGTCAAATTTAATTTAAAAGTTCCTTTAAAGATATTTTATAGGTTTGAAATATAGTAGGCATCTTGTAGTCAGCTAACAGGAAAATGAAGGATTATAAAAATATCACTTAGGGTTAACTGTTGATTTCTTCCTTTAAGAGCATACCCTGAGATGAAAGGAAGTTATATGTAGAACACTTTTGTGGGGCTTTAGGCAGAAGAGTTTCTTCAGAATATGCTGGAAAACATAACTGGTGATGACTGGAAGAAATAATGCTGCTGACCAAAAATACGTTTGGAACCCTTTACAGTGTTGGTTGATATCTTTTGTATATTGCATAAAGAAGCAATGTTTCTAATTTATTGTATGTCTAATGCAACATTATGCAAGCTGACATTTATTCACATAGAGGCTGGTCTTTAATCTCTTTCTCAATGAGGTCCATTCAGAACCTCAAAAGTTAGCGTGGAAGATTGTTTGTATTAATAATTTTGTATTAATTTAGGGGAATGTGTTGGCACTGAAATCTGATGGGTGGGAATGTTCTCAGATAATATATAAATTTGTGTGCTGGAGCTGGAGTGATAAAGAATGGTAATGGCTAATAGAGCTTGAATCAAGCTTCTGTAGTTGTTGTTGTTTAGTCGTTAAGTCGTGTCCGACTCTTCGTGACCCCAT